CCTGGCACGAATTCAGGCGGAGCAATATGATTTTAGTAGGAGTCAACACATAGCTGTGCGTTCCATAAAGTTGGGGTTTCGGGACTTTGCGCGTGAGCTGGTAGGCGCTATAGGGACCGAGGTGGGTCACCGCCTCGACAAGACTGAGCGGTTCTKTGCCGGCGCCATTGAGGGCGTCAAAGCGGCAGCTCCCAAGGAGGAGGAGGCACATCCTCCTCGTCGGGAACCGGTCAAAGTCAAATTCCCTGATTCCTACAATGGAAAAAGGGAAGAGAACTTCGACAATTGGGAGGCCAATGTCAAGACCTATGTGCATCTGCAACAGGTCTCCCCGGATCAGCAGGTTCTGATTGCGATTCACGCGCTCAGAGATGAAGCCGCCAGCTTTGCAAGCTCCCTAGTTCGCGCTGCCAATTGCAGCGATGACCCCGTTGCGTACTCCTCATTCACTTCCTTCACTGAGTTCTTGAAGTTGTTGCGCGAGAGGTTCGCCGATGTCGCCCGTAGCGTTAAGGCCTCAGACAGGCTGCAGACGATCCACGCTCGTAAGTGGAAGAGCGCCAGGGCACTTAAGAGTACCATGGACGAACTGGTAGTTGTCCCTGACCACGGAGTTACAGACACCCAGTTGGTTGGCCTCTTTTATCGGGCTATACCCGAAGCCCTCCGAGGGCATTTCTTCGCAAAGAGCGAAGACCCTGCCACTACATACGATTCCCTTAGTCGCGAAGTAGTGGCTTTTGAAGCCAAGTCTGCGTCTGTGTCCACTTTCTGGCACAAGGACTTGGACAAGGGTAAGCAATGGAAGGGCCGGACTATCTCAGGGCAAGTAAAGACCAAGGACAACCTTGTCCTAACCTTAGATGAGGGTAGTGTGGATGAGATCCCCTACGACCAGATTGAGTGGGGGTTAGAGGAGGAGGACAGCGGTGTGGGCCAAGGGAGATCTTACGCTGCTGTCGCGGCTGGAGGGAGGCCGCAAGGAGGAAGAGGCCAGGGCCAAGGGGGCCGGGCCTCAGGGAGTCGATTTCAGGGCGATCAGGGGGTTGGCGGCAGAGGAGGAAACCGCCAAGCGGGAGGCACCCCCGCAAAACCGTCCTAAGAATAGGTCTCCCTATAGAATAGGAGGATGGCACCCAGGGCTACCTCAGGGTAGGCCTTGGGAATCTTTGGGTCTGGACCAGGCTGTATGGCAACAACGATTGGACCGGGGCCAGTGCATTTTCTGCGGTGACCCGGGCCATATCATCAAATATTGTCCCAAGTTAGAGAGACCCGAACGACTGCCCAAGGGCCAAAAGGCAGCCGCCGGTAGGGGTAGCAACTGCCCCTACCATTAGGCCATGTGGGGAACATAGCGCTAGCYGGCAGGAGACTCCCACACCACATGTGCCTATGGCAGAGGTTGCAGGCCGGTGTCTAGACATCTGTCCAGAGACTGCTTGTGTCATGGTCTCTTTAGACACCTCCCTCACAGGCGTGGCCGAAGAATTGAAGGAGAGGATGCCCGCCTGGATCAAGATGAAAAAAGAACAGAAAGGACAACTAATTCTGGTAGATGTAGAGATTTTTAGAGGTAGAGTAGGGGCCCTAGTAGATTCAGGGGCTACCCGCAGCTATATTAGTAGGAAGGCGCTGCAGAAGTTGAAGCTGGGGCTTAAAGTCCAAACGCTAGCAGATCCCATAGTTAGTATCCTCGCAGACAATCATACTATGGTTGTAGAGGAGTATGTAGAGGGAGTCCAGGCGTATTTCCGCCTAGAGAAGGATGGGAAAGTGGAGAAGGTCAACCACTCCCTGACTCTCCTCGTAGAAGACAGCCTCCCGTTCGACATTGTTCTGGGAATGGATTGGGGAGAGGCAGCCGGGGCAACGCTCCATTTGAAGGAGCACGAGTGTAGGCTCCCTAGTCTTTCAGGCGAGGCTAAGACTGCCCGCCTGTTCCATGTGTCAGGAGTAGAGAATCCAGTGGCACATTGCTGCCTTAGTGCGCCTGCCTTCGCGAGATTCRTGAAGAAGGAGCGCCTAGAAGAACAGGTTTYCGTAGCCTATGTTAGGCCGGTCACTGAGCCTACGGAAGAAAAGTSGATGGACCCTGCGATTGCCAAGCTGCTGGAAGAGTTCAAGGATCTAACTGAGCCGCCGATGGGAGTGGTACCGCGGCCCATCCAGCACCGCATTGAGATAGAGCCTGGCAGTARAACTCCTAAGGGTGCCGTGTATAGGATGTCCCCACGGGAGTTAGAGGAGCTTCGCAAGCAATTAGACGAGCTTCTCGAGAAGGGTTGGATTAGGCCTAGTTCGTCTCCTTTCGGAGCCCATGTTCTCTTTGTCCCTAAGAAAGAGGGAGAGTTGAGGATGTGTATAGACTATAGGGGTCTGAATGCTATTACAGTGAAGAATGCTGAGCCACTGCCTAGGATAGACGATCTTTTAGATCGAGTGCAGGGGGCGAAGTATTTCTCCAAGAAAGATTTGAAGTCCGGATATCATCAGATAGAGGTGCATCCTGACGATCAGTACAAGACGGCCTTCTGGACTAGATATGGGCACTACGAGTTCATAGTGATGCCCTTTGGACTAACCAATGCGCCAGCTACGTTCCAGCGCTGTATGAACGATTTGTTTAGGCCGTGGTTAGACAGGTTTGTTGTAGTTTATCTAGATGACATTTTAGTGTTTAGTAGGACCCTYGAAGAGCATCAGGGTCATCTCAGGCAGGTCTTGGAGAAKYTGAGGGAAGCTAACTTCAAGATCAATGCAAAGAAGTGCGATTGGGCAAAGACCCAAGTTCTGTACCTAGGCCACGTCTTAGACGAAGACGACGTTAAGCCAGAAGATAGCAAAATCGCAGCGATTAGAGATTGGCCCATGCCACGTACGCTGACAGAGTTGCGCTCGTTCCTGGGCCTAGCTAATTACTATAGGAAGTTCGTGAGGAACTTCTCCACCATCGCTGCGCCACTTCACAGATTGCTGAGAAAGAAGACCATCTGGAAGTGGGATAAGGACTGCACGTCTGCCATGAAGAAGTTAAAGCAGGCATTAATAGAGTATCCGGTCCTTAAAGTCGCCGACCCGTCCTTGCCCTTTGTCGTCACGACCGATGCAAGTCAATACGGCATAGGCGCAGTGTTGCAGCAAGACGATGGCAATGTATATAGACCCGTAGAGTTCATGTCCGCCAGAATGTCTTCAGAGAAGGTCGCGACATCTACCTATGAGAGGGAACTCTACGCTCTCAGGCAAGCCTTAGACCAYTGGAAWCACTACTTGCTTGGGAGRCACTTCAAAGTCTATTCTGACCATGAAACGTTACGATGGTTAAAGACGCAGGCCAAGATGACACCTAAGCTTACTAGGTGGGCCGCAGAGATAGATCAGTACGACTTTGAGCTCAAGCCTGTCAAAGGGAAGTACAACGTAGTCGCGGATGCTCTGAGTAGAAGAACTGATTATTTTGGGGCAATAGTACATTACCTCGATATAGGAAAGGATCTGCAGCAGCAGGTTAGAGAAGCCTACGCGCAGGACCCTATCTATGGTGAGCTCCTTAAGAAAGTCAAGGAGGCCCCAGAGACCGAGCTGAACTACCGCACTACTGAAGGGTTGCTTTTTGAGAAGACTATTGTTTTTGACCGATTGTGCATCCCCAATAGCGAAGAGATGCGCAGTCTGATCCTGTGAGAATGCCATGACACGGAGGGTCATTTTGGTTGGCAAAAGACCTTAGCCAATCTGATGCGCGCGTATACCTTGCCAGGGATGAAGAATGACTGCGTAGAGTATGTTTGCAGTTGTAAGGTCTGCCAGCGTAACAAGTCTTCTATGCGTGCCCCGTTAGGTCTTTTCAGACCCTTGCCCATTCCGGATCAGCCGGGAGACTCAGTGTCAATAGATTTCATGGACACTCAAGTCAAGAGCAGGCATGGCAAGAGCCAAGTCATGGTCATAGTTGACCGCTTTAGCAAGTATGCAGTTTTTGTTCCTTTGCCTTCTGAGGCGYGTACTGATTTAGTCATACAGAGGTTCTTTGACTGTTGGGTTAGTGAGAATGGAATCCCGCTGTCTATAGTTAGCGATAGAGATAGTCGCTTTACTAGCCAGAATTGGCAAGAACTCATGGGAGTATACGGATCTAAGTTGTTGATGTCGTCCGGCCGCCATCCAAAGACTAACGGTCAGGCAGAGCAAATGAACAAGATCCTGCAGCACGTTCTGCGCATGTATATTATGCCAGATCAGATTAACTGGGATGAGATGTTGCCTAAAGTAGCTAGTGCGTACAATAACAGCGTGCATCTAGCCACCTGCCGCACTCCCAACGAACTGCACAAGTCCTTTAGACCGCTCAGACCGTTTGAGGGACTCAACCGGGATCAGATTTAGAGATTGCCGCCCGGGACCCGGGAGTTCGCTGTACAACACGAGAAAGAACTAGCTACTGTTGTAGAAAACCTCAGGAAAGCCCAGCATAGGATGATAGAACAAGCAAACAAACATCGTCGCCCTTCACAGTTTCAAGTAGGCGACTTAGTCTGGGTTAGTTCGAAAGAGTTTGCACCTGAGGAGAACATCTCGCAGAAGTTACTGCCCACATATAGAGGACCGTGGCCTGTTCT